ATAACTGTCTTTCGATGGACAGCGACAGAACGCGCCGCTAGTTTCAGTCCTGATGCTTCGTCAGTAGCAAAAACATCAAAAGCACAGCTGTACGAGAAACGGGGGTTCGCACGATTGCACGTCAGTTCGACTGCATGTAGGTTCTGCGCCTCCGACCCCCACCCTAAACAAACACACACACGCACCACCGTCATGACGACCACCACCACACACGAACATGCCACCGCATGTCGGCGAACCAAAAACAAAACTTTCTTTTGCTCTTGGGTGGACCTCTCACGGTACGTAAACATCGTAGTCGTAGAACGAATCCCGCACCTCATGCACAATCGCTTCTCAACCTCGCACGACGCAGCCACAACGGCCCATGCCACCCACTGCCGATGGTGGCCAAGGAAGCTCTTCTCATGTCTCCAGGTAGTGTAAATTCATGGCCCTTTGCCACCGATCCCAAATTTCTCCGACGTTCGTACACTGCCCGTCTTTTGCCTGAAAGCGTTCGTCTTCGCGTCGCGCGCACGCACCTTCGTTTCCCGTCGCAGTTGGCCGCAGTGCTCGCTGGAACAAGCCGAACTTCCATCCTGTAGCGCTGTTACTTGTATCCTCGGCACCTGGGCCCGTTTGCTCCAAGCTGGTTAACTAACCGCGGTTAACCGGATTTCCCTACGATGGGGAATTTCGGGTCACGTGACCGGCAGAGTAAGGACGGCGGGGAATCATGGCGGTGCCCCGGTGAGTGAGCGTCGCTCGCTTTGGAACTAATACGTCGTAGTAGCTGCAGCAGCGGGCGCGTTAGTCAGCAATGAATGGTGCAGGAGGTTTTCGCGTTGCCTTACCTCACTCAAAACGCAAAACATGAGCAATGACATCGCCGCATTTTTTAGACAGACTTTCGACTCTGGCCATTCCTAAGCCTAAATGAACGCGATAGTTGTCGGCATGGCAACGTCTTTGGAAAGTGGATTGCCTTGACTCAATTGGCCGGGTATTGATAGCACACAAAAGCAGAGAGTGTTCCCATAGACCTTTTGCTAAATTTCAAAAGCACCGAGGTGCATGCTACGAGTGTTGTTACACGCGGTGCACCTGCTGGCGTCTGCAGTAATAACTGTTCTGAAGCAAAAAGCCTAAAACAAGTTTCGCTATGCACGCGCGTTCGTTAAAGATTTATCATGATTATTTACTTCAAATATTTTATAAGTGGAAGGCCAGCGCGCGCGGATCGTAGAATTACACTTCCAGAGTTCTTCTCGGTGTTCGGGTAGTTTACTAATAGGTTAATTTTCAGTGGAAGCGAATTACAGGTTCTTTTTCATTTATGACGCTGTTATACACAGTTCTTACATGCTGGCCAACCATGCTGCCTTTGTACCGCCCGCCTTTTACTGCTCACTTCTTCCTTATTGTTTCTAGGACAGAACTTCGTCGTCCTCTTTCGAACTCGGAAGGAAATTTCAACGAGGCTTTCCTTCACTTCATACAGTCAAATATTTAAAAAAATTCCAAACAAGGGTAATTTAGTTTTACCTTGCCGATTATTTGTACCACGAGCAAAAAAAAATTGTTTCTTAAGCTCAAATGTATGCCGCGCTGCGTCGCGAAAACCAGGCAGCGCGCATTTTTTGGGTCCCCCCATTTCGGGAACCTTTCCACGGAAGCCACCTATATTCGCTACAGCCAGTAGGTGACACCAGCTACCACCCTTTAATAAAACACGGAGCTACCACTCATCCAGCCTTCGTCAAACTTGGCTAGGTACTTGTAGGTACCTAGTAGGGAAGGGCGGTTAACTTTTAACCGCGGTTAAAGTTAACCGGCTTTGAGCAAACGGGCCCTGGGCGTCGAAACTACTTAGTCAAAACTGTTTGGTTCTTCCGCGGCACGACACGATGGTCCGACGACGGCGCACTCCGCTGGCACACCGACAACTCTGCCGACGCCACCGCATTGTTGCCAGCGCCCTTTCGAATCGCCGCCGTCGCCGGAGCAGTTTTTCCCGGAGTACGAAAACGACGGTGACGACAACACGAAAACAAATGTGGTTCGGGGAGCAGCCGCTCATGACCCAAGCGCTCGCAGACTATCTCTACCCGTTCTGCTCTGCGCTACCATATTGGTCACCGCTTCGCGCGCTCCTCCTCTCCTTTTTTCTGCGGCCGCGCGCCCTATGGCTCCGCCGTCGATGTGCCAGGCTTTCTCCGTATAAAGGAGGCTATGTCAGTGGCCGCAACCTCGGCAGTAGCGAAGCGTGGCCGTCTACGCCAGTACACCGCAGCCGAACTAAAGGAGCGAAAGAACGACATTCATGCTTTCGCATTCACAACTCACAACAAGTGCTTAAAAGTCCTCGGAATTTTTTTTCACCCACGCTCCTCACAATCTGAGACTCCTTTGATTTGTATGCAACTTCTCTATGATGAGTCAAATAACGCTGATACCGCTTTTTTATGCCCTTTGAAATGTTTAAAGAAATGCACGATCAATAATTTCTCTTTAGGTTGTGATCATATTTGTTTATTTTCTTATTTTTTTTATTATAAGTACGTGTACGTGCAATCTTAAATAGGTCTTTAAGGCCCCCCCCCCCCCCCCCCCTGGGAGCACCATAAATAAATATAAATAAGTTATACTTAAATCCTATCGCAGCCGACCTTCTGATCCGATGGAGGAATCAAGCAGAGCAAAAGTGCACAATCACGGCGCTCGTTTACCCTTGAGGGGTTGCTTAAAGTCTCTCAATACTTCTTTTTCCAAGTAACGACAACCAATGCAAATGGCGAAGCACATTCCGCTGGAACAAAATGGCCCGTTCAGTTCAATCTTCTACTGTGCGTCGTCATTCGCTTCCTGGAGCCTGCACCGTCACGCAGTCGACGCTTCAAAGTATGTCGCCACTTGTAGGAAGCTCTTATGTAGTAACTTTAGCTTTGGTTTGCTATTGCCAACAATACCAATTACGAAAAAGAAAAAAAAATGCAGGACCACGGCGCCTTTGTTGTGCGTCATCGGTCTAGTCGGTGGGAGGGAACGTACGAAGACGATTAACGCCGTGACGATGCACTTTTAGCACTGCGTAAATTCGCTCCATGAAACCGTAGCGCCGGCTGCGGGTAAGCTCACATCACGGTGTGAATAAAAACGTACCAATGGATAGTATGAGGGCGTGTGACGTATATTTTTACAAAAAAAAATTGATAGAGTAAAAGACGCGATAAACGTTCTCCCCTCGCGATAACATTCACTTGCCACGGGTGACTCCTAAAAATTTGTGAATGCTAAGAAATCAAAATTTAACGCTTACCCACCGAAGACGCAGAAGCCACGAAAAACTCATTCACACATTTACGCGACACACTGTACTTCTGATAGATGTAAACTTGTCTCGATGATTCTCATGAACCTGGAGATCACAGGATGTGTGAAGTGCATCGGAAACCACCGCAAGCTCCTCGCAACCGAGCATGTCAAATTCTGACGCACGCATAATGCCTGCACGACACCATTCTGTGTTCCCTCGGTTTCTCAGAATGATCAAGGCATTTTCTTTTTCTTTTTGAAAGACGAGTGCGCGACGTCATCAGATTCTTTCTTGTTCAAAAAAAAAAAAATTGACACCAAGTCTGGATTAACATGCTCGGAATCCACTTTTTATTGGCAGAAAATTGCAGACTTACCTGTTGTTTGTTTTCCAGATAATTTATTTTCATGTAATCTTTTAAGGGGATGGTGAACCGAACATTACAGTGTCTACAATAAGCGGCGCGCTATCTTTCCATGAATCAGCAGCCGCCGGCGCGCACGAGCACACGCAACTAAATTGACGTCATCATATCCTCCATTCGAGTTTATTAAGCGCGAATGAGGGATATGATGACGTCAATTTCGTTGTGTGTGCTCGCGCACACCAGGGGCTGCTGACTCGTCAAAAAAGATAGTGCGCCGCTTATTATAGACACTGAAATGTTCGGTTCACCATCCCTTTAACAGTCGATAATGCCGCGTGCGGGACAAAGTTAACAGAGCACGCGGCTCTCACGCGAACGTACAGGGTTTAAACCCCAACAGTCTAACTTTTTTTTTCGATCCTTTCTGTTCTGGAAAGTTACAGCCAACGTTACTAGAACCACTCAGTTAGGAAACTGCCATAGAGACTGCTCTGAAAAAGTGGCCCCGATCTGTCCTCCAGAACCGAGCTAATGACGAACGCAACACCGCCATTTCTCCCGCAGCGGCCACTCGAGGAACTCCACGTGACGTCTATTTTGGCTTTAATCGGCCATTTTGGCGCCGAAACAGATACAGCGGAAGAGGTTACAGGGGTGCCACCCCCGTCTCCCCAGCGGACGCGCCGCGAATTACTACCGAAGTTAAAATGCACCTAGGTCGGGACGCGCTATCTGAAAGCACCGCTGAGGCATGGTTGTATAAAAACAATATTAATTGTTCCACAACACCTTGCAAACTAAAGATTATAAAAACATCACGCGCCCTTCATTTTGTATTAAACTACAAAAAATTTCATATAAAAAGAGTCTTTTCCGTTTGTTTTTACACAAAAACATGCTTTCTAAAAACTCAAGGTGACCACAGTACATACAAATTATAAAGAGTGGCGCTGTTGTCGTATTTAGCTCGGTCTCGGTGGACGCCAGCGGCCCAGGTGTCGACGGCGAGTTCCCCAACTGAGTGTTTTAGTAACGTTGGTTACAGCTCATTCGCAGTGTCACCTCGTGTACCGAACCAGAACACAGCATCACAGAAAGAAGTTCCAGTCCATTCTCTGCTGTCGTTGTGTGTTCTGAAGCAGAATACGCAATGACACGTAGAATGGGTTGGAACGTTCCAGAAGAGTAACAATAGGGAAAAGAAAGAGTTAGCGCGGTAGGATTTTTACCTCTTATACCTTTGCGTGGCAGCCTTGTGCGCCGCCAACTTCGCCACGGACGCGGCAATATAACTCATATACGTCCAGCGCGACACCTGTGAGCTAGCATAACAAATTAGGTCATGGCCACGTACGCATTGTACCGAACGCATTCTTCAGGATACCCGTATGCATAGCAGTGAGCATCAAGGGCGTTGAAGAAGATTGTTCCAATGATATCAGATGTCGGTGTGCTCACGTTTACCAAGCAATTGTAGAACTTGCAGTCGTCCCGGCAATTCGTCCTTAAATTCATAGAAGCAAAAAATGAAAGACGTTAACATATCTCTCTAATGCGAAACTAGAGCGCAGCTCTTGAGGACGAGGAGGGAAATGTCTGGAAAGAGGGGTATGCCCCCTCGTCCTGCGTACCCTCTCCTTCTCCTCTCCTCCTCCTCCCACCCTCCTTCTCCACTTCCCTGTTTCTCCTCCCGTCACGTCATGACTTCGTGACGTCATTTTACCCGCTAAATTTAGCGGGAAACTGAATAGGTGTTGAGGTCACGTGACGTCCATTTTCCCGCTAAATTTAGAGGTGAAGCTAACGTCACGACTTCATGTCGTCATTTTCACCACTAAATTTACCTGGGAAACTGAACTGGTGTTGAGGTCGAGTTACGTCGATTTCCCCGCTAAATTTATCGGAGAAAATTTTCCGCTAAAGTTAGCGGCGAAGTTATTTCGTTAAATTTAGCGGGGAAATTTTCCCGATAAATTTAGCAAAGCATTTTCCCGTTGAATTTAGCGAGAAAATTACCCCGCTAACTTTAGCATAAAAACATCCCATAAATAAACGCGTTGGGTTACACTGACGCCGACGACGACGACGCTCAACCCGGAAACGGGCGCCTAAAAGCTGGGCTCTAAAAAAAAAAAAAAAAACAATAGAATTGAAAAGTGAGTCCCATTCCGATATCATATTATTGTTGTTGAAGATTTCCCTGCGACAGCATGATCCCGGAAAATAAAATGCTTCCGGACAAAACGGTTTCATGTGCAAATCCCCACAAAATGGTCCAATCTGAATTTTGCGGTATTGACACCTTGCTCTTCCCGGGTTTGCAGATGTCTGCCTAGGTTGGCTACCCTGCGTTGGATAATTTTACGAAGGAAGCAAGAGAAAGCGACAAAAACCTTATTAACTTGCCAGCTCACGCTTTGACTATGTGAACACAAAATCTTTCACGTGCATACTCATCAGATTTCCGTGGAATCCAAATAACAAACGAATCAAAAATCCTGCTAGTAAGGTGTTTGCGGCCCAAATGTTCCCCCAGAGTTCTGTGTACTAGCTGGAAGTACAGTTGCACACATGAGTGCTGAGTGCAATTGTAGAACTGACAGTCTTGCACACGAACACAAATAATGGAAATAAAAGACACCATACACAAGCAGAACTTCATAAAAGTTTCATATAAAAACGCAGAAGAACCTTTGCGGCCTTCTCTTTATTCTATGGAGTGTCCCAGGCCCCTAGAATGTCGTACGTCATAAATGGCTGGTCGTCTAAACTTGTGAGTTTTGAATGGCACTTTTTTTTTCTTCTGCATCGTGAGGAGTACATTTGCATAATATATAGGACGTAGTTTTCACATGATTATTCCAGACCCAGTCACTTTGTTCTAGTAGGAGAGGGGCCTGCGAATGATGAATTCACATAATTATGCAATATTTATATGAGATGTCCGAGGTGACACTAGGGGCTGCGCCTTTCCACTGCAGACATTGTTCGAACATCATTATATCGAATTGATTAGCTATTAGAGTTCTCTTTGTTAACGTATATGAAAGGAAGTTTTTTAGAGTGCACTCTTAAAGGACCCGTTTTTCAAGCTTACAAGAAAACGAATAATTTCGTTTTATACTTACGGTTTTCGTTATTTTTGCTCCCCCATCTCATAGAGCAAAGTGCAAAAAAATAACCTTTGTAAAAAGTTATGCTTCCCAATGCAACCGCTAGATGAAGCGATTTTTTTTTTTTGTATTTTTGGCTTTTTTAATAGTTGCCGCAAGAGCTAGAATCACGTAAAGGATACCTTGAATTCTAATTTCTCTCACATTGTGAAGATCTGTAAATTGATGATGCCGTGCTCTTCTTCAAAAGACCCAATGCTACCCGCGTTGTTGTCGTGATCGCGGCAGCACTTGTCCGTTTCGATCTCTCTCCCGAGGTCGTTGTCGTCCTTGGCGATATCCCCGGCTCCACACCACTTCGTTCCTATAAGGTATAACGCCCTATTTGCGTCACGTTTATATAACGGACACTTTCTAGAAGTGAATATGTCTACGACCTCCGGAAGCATTACACAGAAGCCTCATATATAGTTTAAACACCAAACCCACTTAAATGACAACAAAGATCTCTTGCAAGCTGAACAACCTTGAAGATTTTCTCGAAGTACTGCTTAGCCATACTGGAAATATGGTATTCTGGTTTTGCTAAAAGTTAGTCGTAAAGGAATGCTGGCTTTATAATACATAATCATATTTTATTCTGATTTTCATTATTGGATGATGGAGCAAAAGGTGAGGTAACGCCTTTGAACAAGGCCGTTCACAGACCTTACAAAGAAGAAAAGGGAAGGTGACGGAAAAATAGACTTAAATTAATCACATATATAAAGAAATAGCAGACATAGAAACATAAGTCATACAATGTACTGGCGCGCAGAACTAAACAACAATTTACATAGGTGCCCATTTATTTCTGTAAATGAGTTTGAGCTTTATCAAATTCTTATGCAGCACATACACTAAGCAAACTTGGAGGACGCTGAAGATTTGCCTTTAAGAGTGGAACGGGATAGCGTCGTCGGTCCCCATTCACATCGTTTACTGATTCGCGTCTCATGCACTTCCTGCCAGTGTGCAGTAAGTGCGACGGACATGACCTAATCAGTAGCTCGTCTGGCTCGCAACCAAATGGTCGTGAGTTTGAATCCCGCCTAAAATTCTTCAAATTTTTCTTGACGGCAAATTAATTACTTCATAAGGGAAATCTTTTCAGACATGCGGCGACCTTTAATTCGCAGTAAATTCTATGTCTTTTATTCACTTTCATCATACACGTCACATCATGTTTCATGTGAGCGTTGTGTCTTGTTTTGAATTCCCGCGCAAGGTCATGCGCCGTTGAAGTCATAAACTTATTGACCAATCAGAATTTTCGTGTCGCACCATCGATACCGGTTTTTTTTGTCACGCCACCGAATTTCTGCGACACGAGCTCCTTAAGGCTATCATGATAAAATAATGAGAACAACCAGATGACATTAACTGACGTCCGAAAAGAACTAATATTTTTAATTGCTTTTAAACTTGTGAGTATAATTGTCATTCGTAATCATGACTTTACTCTCCAATATGTGTGTAGAACTTCAGGTACCAGATAGGCTAAGATTTTTTGTTTCTGTAATTTGTTCGCGTCTTTTGTTTGACACCCTTTTACCTCCAAGACGTAAACTGTTTTTGCACTAGGACAACGCTGATACAATGCGGCTATGTTACTCTTAATCTGTTTATATATTTTGGTTGCAAGGTCTTCAGTTAAAAGCAAATAATTACGTAATGAAAAATAGGCTAATAAATATTAAGTAGTATGTTCTCTATGTTTATCAAGTTTCAGATGCAGTGTCCTGTAGAAAGTAATTGTGTTATGTATATGCTAGCCAGTGTCACATTCCAGTTTACGAACCCTGGGAGAACTTTCACAGTGTGTACGGCCTACAAGGGGCAGGCAGCTTCACTTTCGACTTGGGGCGTGAAGCCGGCACAGTTTTGACGGTGCCCGCATTTTCTGCTTTTTTCTGTTGGTTGGGGAAACTTCTATTACCTGCACTAAACTTTATGTTTTTGTACCGCCGGTTCCACCCCAAGTCGTATTCGGAAGAGCCAAGTCGCGCAATGTGTCCTGTCGCATTCGACGACGTTTTATCATGATCCGACGGTATGCTCTCTACTTTTTGTTATTACTGTTATACAGTCTTGTAAACGTTACTAAAAAAAAGTAATCGATTACAATTACTATTACTCTTGGCTAAAAAGTATTAGATTAGATTACTTGATTACTCAACGGCAAGAGTAATTGGACATTACTTAAAGAAGTAATCGTTACTTTTACGATTACTTTATTGTGTGAAGACACATCTTTACCGCTCATAACAATGAACTACTTCCAACCTATATTTCACATTTTGCACAAGTGTTGAAAAAGAAAAACTGGCTCCCTCTTCGTGGTCTTTGCACCTTCACATTGCGGACACAAGCATAGAATTCGTTTGAAGACGTTTAATGATTTGGGCGTTCGCCAGTATGTGTGTGTGTGTGGGGGGGGGGGGGGGGAGCGGAGAGGGTTCTAGATTTTGTTAAGCTTGAGCAAGGGTTGTCGCTCAAAGTTTGCGTCGCTCATTTTATTATTCACATGTGTATGAGCTCGCATGTTATACAAAAGAGCAGCAGCTCCAGGATTTGAAACGGATCATGTGTAGTATCCATTAGCGGAAGAGTTCGCCCCGACCACTTCCCAACTCGAAACATTGCTTGTCACAAAGACCACGTACGGGAAATGGGGAAATATTTCAACTGCCTTTGTTATATTTTGCATCCGCTTTAGGCATTCTTCGGTTCTGGTTCTCCTACGTGCTGCGAGTAGGTACCGTAGGCAGGATGTTTTCATTTTTTTTTATTCCTGTGTGTGTGTGCGTGAGGGGGCTAGCGTGAACGAAGAACTCACAAAGCTACATTCTGCTTTCTCAAACGTCGCCCTGAATGGCCTCTGTCACGCATTGTGCTTCCCTGGGGCTTCCCAACCCCAAGTCCCAGCTCAAAAAAAAAACAAAAAAAACGGACATTCCTTAGAAACTGTACATAGAAAGAGATTGACCTCGTTTCCTACAGTTCCGCAAAAATCTTTCTTCTTTCCGTTGGAAAAAAAAAAAAGCTAATTTTTTGTTTGTCATTCTATAAAAAAAAAAAAGGCGTGTGCCGGGAAGGGGGGGGGGGGGGGTCCCGCGGACAAATTGTAACGGTTACAAGTAATTTAATACTTCAAAAAGTAATCAGATTACTATTGTGATTACTGCCTAATAAGAGTAATCAACTGATTCCAAAATTAGTCCAAAAAGTAATCGATTACAAGTAATTTGATTACTCGTACTGCGTACGGTACAAGTCTGCTGTTATGCAGAGATACGAAATGGAATCCGCGTCCTCTCACTGCAGCACAAGAAAAGCAGGTAGTTGAGGCAGTGCAACTTATCCCTAGCATACATGAAGGACAAAATTGGTATGAAATGAATTGAGAGTCATAAAAGAGATGTACACAACATTTTAAGGGAAACTAAAGAGCTTATTCTACAGACTGCCTATCGTTGAGAGTGAATTATCGTTGATTTATCCCTTGAAAGGAGAACTTCAGGAGCTAAATACAGCAAATCAGGAAATCGACGCGTAACTGAGAGCAACCGCATCACGGCAGGAACTAGGAAATCAATCGCGCTAAAACACCCTCATTATCTAGGGTTCGCCGGACGTGACAACTGAAACCTGGGAGGAATCCCAGGCCAAGGCAATGTCATTTTGTTTTGAAAACTTCGGCGTATAACTCGAGCCCGCTCGTATTGAGCAAACACCCAGGCTTGGCCGTTTTTTGGACGCCAAAATATCGCCCTCATATTTCGAAGTTCCAGTAATTCAAAGATAAACGAAATGTATTGTCTGAGTCTTACCAACTAAAGAGGATTAGTTCCTCTTTGGGTGAGCATTTTTCACCTGCGGTGCAGTTTACGAGGCGAAGAGTTCTAAAGTATGCCAAGAAGCTGAACGCTCAATTTAAACTACGATAATACAAATTATTTATAGCCGGTAAAACGTTAAAATACGACTCGGATAATGACACTGTGTTTGAAGATCTTAGGTAATAACAAAGCACTTACGCAAACGTAGAAAACCTTGCTTTCAAAATCTCGAATTTGCCGCAGGAGCGTTAAAAAAAAAGATTAACTTTTATTTCCTTTTAATTGTTCGTACCGAGTCTTGGCTCGAAGGCTGGGTAAACAGTTTTAAACTATTTCCAGTTATCTATGAGGCCTACTGTAAAGGTAAACATTTCTGGGGCGGGGGATTCTTTTTATTTCTCTCGAAAAGTCTAACATGCACAACTCTTTAATTCTGTTATTGTGTTTTTAATCAGCTTGGTGTAAGATAAAACTGCAAGGCGGTAAATTATTGACAGTCGGCTCATTTTATAGGCCGCCAAGTAATAATTAATGCTATCGATCCTTTTTTGTGCATTTCTAATAATTTGCCAACAATAACGCTTAACGATGGCTTACTTGGAGACGATTTTGATCTACCGGATATGTAATGGGTTGACATTTTCCCACTTTCGTCCAATTCATTGTCCCCTAATAAGACGGTTGTGGAACTTATCAACATTCATCAACTGCATCAATTTGCGTCGCTTCCGAAAAGACTTGCATCACGTGGATCCATCCTAGATCTTCTTACAGTGAAGCTTTCTATGACTTGCTGGTCGGATTTCTTTGTGTCCGTCGACAGAACAGTAACCGACAGAAAAAACAGAAAACCATTCCACGAATATTGAAACAAAACTAAAGTAAGTTGCGCGGCCCTCGGGAATTGACCCTGGGGACCCCTGTGTGTGAGTCGGGTGCGTTGCCACTCGGGCACACAAGCCGCAAGGGGCAGGAAACATAAAACTTGCGGCACTTTGCGCAGTGTAATCATAGGAGAGAAAAAAAGTTGGGGCGCCAATCCACGCTGTGAAGGCGCTTGGCCAGCGAAGCTGTGGTAATACCTGCAACGATTGCCCACTGTATTATTCTGAATGATTGACGAAAAAGAAGTAAATGCACTCTACCAAAACTGTTTCAAGTCAACCAATCACCGAGCATGCGTCATTCAGTGATCTAGCGTTAGCTGAACATCTCTCTATATTAAGAAAGGAAAACCTCACCTTGTACCACAGTGATCACAAAACAGTTCTCATCGGCGTTTCAAAATAGAAGTTTTGGTGCAGCGCATTTACATTTCTTTTGTCAAATATTTGGTAAGTTGCGGTGGGAAATCGTTGTACGGAATACCACAGCTTCGCTGGCCAATCAACTTCACAGCGTGGGTGGTTGGCCACCCCGGCTGTCAAGGTGGTTGGCCACCACTTTCACACTGGGTTTCGTTTTGTTACAAATCTTCCTCCTTCTATCTGCTCGGTGATGACAATTCCGGGCATCAGTGATCATCAAGTTGTAGTAGCGCATGTGACATGTAAACGCGCTATAACTACTAAGCCCTGCCCCGGAAAAGTTAATTTTTTTAATCAGAATGACGGACAGCGCATCCTTTCACCTTCTGGTTTATCTCCCCGAGTTTTGTTCCTGCATGGCAATTGATATA